ATTTCAATAATCTAAAGGACCCTTTTTTCCACTATAAAGAAACTTTTGTGCAATGCAAAGAACCATAGATGCCAAGAAAGAACCTTAAATACATCATAAACGTAATGCACATTCTGACTTCATACAGTGCAATTATACTCATTAAAATGAGGTATATACTGTAGGTTATATACAGTGGCTCTTTTTTGTCTTATTTCCATTAAATAGCTTCACTGTGGTGTGTCTTGAAGAACTGAGTTGAATTGAAGTATGTAGTTAATTCATTTAATAGTGGGATACAGGAGCTGAGGCTCACCGGACAGTGTAAATGACAATCATTGGTTACTCTGCTTTGCTAAGACACTAATTAATAACCCAGTAAAGGAAGCTGATTGTGATGTTTAATTATCATTCATATATGTTTCTCTTTTTCTCCAAAAAGATGTTGGTTTTAGACATTAAGTTTTAAACTGTAAATTAGAATAATTGTGCTGAATTCTGTCTTATAAATTCATAAGGTACATTTTAGGTTTTTGCACGATTCATTTTTTTTTTTTTTTTTCATTTGATGACAATATGCAGTGTGACAACTTACCCCATACAGTGTTTCATAGTATGTTAAGACAAAAGATTAGTCTGTGTGTTCAGTAAATTGTATCTTTTTCTTTGCCAATAACATAATAAAAAAATCATTTATTTTCCCCTCAAGATTCTAGGGTTTGTGTCTATAGAAAAACGTGACTTTCAAATATAAACTTACCCTCGGAAAGTGTGACAACTAGCCCCGGTCTACATGAGAAACTCACTTTCAAATACATTTACACAAAAATGTACTGTGGGTAATTCCTGAGAGTGTGCAAAAATGACTGATGTCTTTGTTTTCTAGTTTCTATAAAATGTTCTTAATGACAAAGGAATACAGTTTTCAGATCTCATTGACAATGGCACAACTTTTCAGATTATCTTTACCAAGATTCAGTCGCCAATCTGTAAAAACGAGATAGTTTCCTTCACAACTTTCAGACGGGAAAGATCAAACATGATATGCCATTCTCCATGTTCTGATCCTGTAAAAAGCCCCACCTCTCTGAGATTCTGTGGGATGTGAAGTTCAATGACAGCACCGGCTGCAATGAGCACATTTCTCAAGCTGGTCTCCAGAGCGCAAGAGCAATGCGCGGCCGATGCCTTTCTATTTGCTCTCGTGCCTCGCGCGGTGGACTCAGAGTGATTCAGTAGAGCACGCCAGCATCAGAGCTGCATCGCTAAAGCTTGTACTTGGAATATCTTACAAAAGAGCAGAAGCGCGACACACGCCGCTATCGCGTGGTGCGCGTAAGGTAAGAGCCTCAGCTCTCTGAATGCGTTTTTAAAGTTTTCAAAATTGCGTCAAATCTAAAACAATGTCTTTAATGACCGGGTAGTCGTGTTTGCCTTTTATATAAGCCTACATTTAATTTCTTATTTATTCGTTATATGAAAAAAAACAACAAAAAAACAAAAGCGCAACATCGACGTCAGTTGTGGATTATGATCAAAGCTGATAGTATTGTAAGTGTATTCTGTTTTCTATTATTCATGTTTGAAAACATTTGTTAAATGTCTGTCAACTTCATCTCTAGAATAGTAAAAAAAAAAAAAAAGCATATAAAAGCATACAATTTGGTCACATCAAGTCAAGAATGTTTATCGTTTTAATCACTTTGATTTTACTTAAACATTTAATCGGCAATTGATTATTAATGTTTACATTTGTAGTAGACAATTAGTGGTAGACAAATATCTATTGCAAGATGTTCAACTGTTTATGCCATACATTAATATAAGCCGGTTTATATAAAGGCAGCTGTCTTGTTTTGTCGTGCATTTATTTGTCGGACCATTTTTTAAAACGAAAATGTCTTATTCCAATCTAAAAAATGCTGGGTTGTTTCAACCCAGCTTTGGGTCAAATATGGACTAACCCAACTTTTGGGTTAAAAATTGCATTTAAAAATTTAACCCAACAGCTGGGTTAGTCTATATTTGACCCAAAGTTGGGTTGAAACAACCCAGCATTTTTTTAGAGTGTATAAACAAAACTTCCTTGAAGATACTGCGATTGCAGGTTATATTCTTATTTTATTTTATTTTTTTAGGCCTGCATATTTTACCTACATCCTAGCATTCAATGAATGGGAGGAGCTTAAGACAGAAAAAAAAAACTTTTATAAAGTGGTTCGTGGTTTTAATCTCAGTCCGTTGATTTCAACCAGAAATAGTCGTAAATAGTATCGTATTTATTTATATTTCGTTTAAGAAGGTCACTAGTGTTACAAAAGATTATTATAATTTCACGAACGTGAATGAAGCCATCAATCAAGCTCCGGTGAGGCGTGAAGGACACTAAAAATCCTGTCATTTATGACTGTTCGAGGCTAAAATATGTTTCTGACCGTTTCAGGGATTGACTGGTGCTGCAGAAGCTGAGCTGAAAACAGCTAGAAAACACGATTCTCCTGAGCTTTGGAAAAGGTATGTGCACCAACACACACTGCCACAAAATATCTCAGATATTGAAACAAAATTATTATGTTTGATTATAAAAGATATTCAGTTTATTTATTTGTAATTGTTCACATTCCATTTAAGGGATTGTTTAAATGAATCAAAACACTCCATTAGTTGCATAAGAATTCATCTTATTCAACATAAACAGACTTGTTATGTGATTCCATGTTTGCTGATTATTGCAACTTTAAAATGTAATAAAATTATACATATTTCACAATTCCATAAAAGCTATGGGTGGCACCACACTGTATCGACTTCTAGCCCTATGTACCTGTCGGATGCTGTCTTCTGTATCACTGTTCAATCAAAAGATGCATGGAGTCTGATTACCTTACAGTAATAACATATGCGGTGTCCATTATAGACTACTGGAAGCCAGCATATTGAACTATATGCAGGTAACAATTTCATGCATGTCATGCAATCAAGACTAAACAATCGAGGGCAAAACATCTTTACGTCTGATGAGATTGTCTTTAAATGATATTGCCTGATAAGTCTTCACAGACCAAGCGGCATTTAGTCTCGCAATTTTCTGATAGACCTCCAGCATTGAATAAGGATTATAATGTAGGCCAGTGTACTGTGTACTGTGGGGCTTTCTGTTCATGACAATTATAGGTCAGAGAGAGGAGTCTTTAAAGAGAGCAGGATTCATTGAAGTAAACCTGCTTTGGAAAGTGAAGACGTTTCATTTGTTTTAAAACACTAGAGTTTGCCTGAGGTATATTTGGTTAGATGATGGATTTGGTGTGTAATGTCCTATTCTTGTAGCTATTAGGTCCTCCCTCTTTTTTTCTTCTGTATTGACCCCGACAGGTCACACAAGTAATTTTTTAAACGCATGATTAATTCCACAGTAGGGTTAGTGTATACATATAGATGAAGTTCAATGATTTAAGGCGTACATGTTAACTGTTCAGCATGAATCTAATAAACAGAAACATTTTCAATGGATAGTTCAACTGCTCTCTGTTATAATTAGTATTACAAGGCAGTTTTTCACTTTATATAAGACATAAGCATAGCTGATATAAATTAAAATGCGAATATATGCATGAAAACACCAACCAAAGTTGTATGGCATTTTAATATTACAATTATTGAAGCATATGTGAGGTAATGTTTATTCAAGATTAAAAGCTCAATGAGCGTTATTCTACAGTGTTAGCAATTAATTTAAAGTGTATCTATCATATCATATTTTTTCATATTCCTGTAATGGGTTGAGGGGTCCTATGAGGTGCTCTTTGGCTATTGGGAGACAAAAGCCAGCGGGATGGGATCTAAATGAGGTTTAGGGGGCTGCAGATGGGACCCTCTCTTTCCTGTCAGTTTGACTTGGCTTTTCAAAACACTTGACCTTTTGTATTAATTCTATTATCACGGCAAAATGGAAACGTCACAATTAAGCCCAATATTCCTATTATAATTACGTGCAATACCATTATAATAACTCTTAACGCCGACATTTAAAATAAAAATCCTTTGTATCGAAGATTTTTTTCTTCTTCTGCAAACAAATAGGCTATGCCATTTTTAATTGTAATTTTTCATAGTCGGATCAATAGCGCACCTGCTATTATAGGAATGTTATTGATGAGACAGTTTGTCGGACAACGTGTCATAGGCATCAAGCGATTAGTTTTATTCTCAGTTGTGGTCGATTCAGTACGTACAGCCCATGTGTTACCCTCATGAGGAAAAAATGACATGCCGACATTTGTCCCCTTTCGCTTGATTTATGAATGCGTGGAAATTGGCTCAATATGGCATGACAGTCTGGACAGTTTCAGTGTGTGCCGATTGCAGATGCTGATAACGAAATGATAAAGCATTAAGCCATAATAAACAATAGCCTGACTGCTCTTCACACTTAAAAACGATTGGGCTACTTTTACTGCTTTAAAAACAATGTGATTGGATGCTTAAAGCGGAGGAATCAAACTGTAAACGCCATAGGCTACTTGAAAACAAAAACAAATAAACAGTTAAAATCGACTAAAATAATTAGTCGATAATAATCGACTAAATAACATAGTTTTAATTATTAGCTATTTTACATCACCCTATCAGTAGCTATAATACATTAGGCGTACAATTAGTTTCAAGCTTTAATATAAAACCTTGTATAAAAACGTGCAATTACATTATTAATGTTGTGAGAAAATGTTTTGGTCTTGGCTACATATTTTCGGCGCGTTGTGTTCTAATATTTTAAAGTAACAGGCTTTATTTATGAAACAATTTCTCTTCTTCTCCATGCAATTTTATACCGATTGCACACGGCTGGATCTCTGGAGTTGTTTCCTCTAATTCAGATGTGAACTCGAGGCGCGTTTGAGTGGCAGTCAGTGAAGCGTCATTGGCTCTTCAGAGGGGCAGAGCCACGCCAATCACTCACAACGCGCTCCGGCAATAAGAGCCAGTGTGTGAGACGCGCGCTTATTCGCGCTTTCTCTGCTGTTACTACTGGTGCTGGACTCGATAAAGGAGCCTGTTGTGATATTGGCCATTTATCGTGCTTGTATTTATAAAGTTCGCGCTCTCCTTGACCGTTTCGAAGGCACATTTCCAATTTTGTATGTGGAATAGGCTGCGACATGATTTGAATTCTGTAGCGTTTGGACATCTCCTGCAGCGCGCGGAGGTAAGACAAATACAAACTTTTTATCGTCTCCGAGTCCTTCTAAAAATTATGTGTTTTTGTTCAGGTTTGGGCTTTTTAAGAGACATTTGTTCTCGGAGTAAAAAAGTGAAAGTGTGGTGGATACAAATAAATTTTTATGGTACATTTATTATTATTATTTTGGCTAACAAAATACATTTTTATGGTACATTTATTATTATTATTATTTTGGCTAACATTGGGCTATTATATGATACATTACCTAAAACCTAAAAAGCGACGTTCTATATATATTCTGTGTGGGAAAAGTCGGAACAGAACGGTGAGGCCGACTAACATTCTACAGGAAAATCTGCTTGAACGCTACACATTTCGCTGCATTGTTATTTCCCCACATAAAGTTATCAAAAAATTGTAAAATAATTAAAAGCATTACACGCTTTTTCTTTTTGCATTTTCACACAGAGACAAAAAGTGTTCGTGCTTCAGAGGCTTTAAGGAATAAAATGAATCACTGCATGTTGCTGGCACAGTGATTTAGCTCTTCATTTATTTGTATATTTTTAAATATATATCCTTTTTATTTAATTTGCGATCATATTGAATAGCATCTTTATTTTCTCTCGTTCTTTAAATGGGTTTTTGTTTCGTCATCGTTATTTTTGTCTGGTTCTGTGAGTTTTTATTTCACCCGCATCATATTCTGATCTACAAGCAATGTGTCATGTTAAAAAAGCTTTACAGTAATTGTGCAAGTTGTTCAATTATCGTTTTTTTGGTAGAGCGAAATAAAAAATCTGGTTTCTATTTAATACCACATCTGGTAATAGCTACGTATTATCAGAGTAATATTCTTTATACTGTGCATAAATTAATTAATACAACTGAATCTTTTTTCCTTTGATTACTTTATTTTCTTTGCTAAATTAACCTTTTAAATGTGTTTACAGACGAACACCTCCACTCATTGGTCTCTAAAGAATGGAAAAGAGTCTTCTGCCTGGACCAAACAACATTGTGATGGCCACCCCACCAAGTTCATTCCAGCAGGAGCCGCTCACGCCTCCAAGATCCTCGCTTAAGCCCAACCAAGTTGGGCATGTCATCCTCTACGGGGTGCCTATTGTCTCACTGGTGATTGACAATCAAGAGCGCTTATGCCTGGCTCAGATATCCAACACCCTGTTAAAGAACTACAGCTACAACGAGATCCACAATCGTCGAGTGGCTCTGGGCATCACCTGCGTGCAGTGCACCCCGGTCCAGCTGGAGATCCTGCGACGGGCGGGTGCCATGCCCATCTCCTCCCGCCGCTGCGGCATGATCACCAAACGGGAGGCAGAGCGGCTGTGCAAGTCTTTCCTGGGAGAGAACTCTCCACCCAAGCTGCCAGACAACTTCGCGTTCGACGTGACGCACGAATGCGCTTGGGGCTCCCGGGGAAATTTCATCCCGGCGCGCTACAACAGCTCCCGGGCCAAATGCATCAAGTGCTCCTACTGTAATATGTACTTCTCCCCAAACAAATTCATCTTCCACTCGCACCGCACACCCGAGGCCAAGTACACGCAGCCGGACGCTGCCAACTTCAACTCCTGGCCATTCACGGCTCGCTGGAGGAAAGCGGCGCGTACAGAAATGTAAATATTCCCTCCAGGCACTTTAACTAATTATTTAAATGCGGGCCATTGGCTGACAGGGGCCATATGCATAACAAGATTGATAGCCTGTGTTCCCTGCAGAAATGAAATATTCAGAGCTCTTTGATCCCTTCTAATAAGCCCAGTCGTGTTTTGTTTAATGGCGACATTATGTTTGCTCCCCTTTGTCACTTCTGCCTATTAGCCCTTTTAATCTTTAACCCTCTGACGCTATATTAACAGACAGAGCGACGGGGATCGAAACGGGAATTCTTTAGCAATTAGCCTCACGCGTGTTGATTTATCTAGAGGAACTCGGTAGCACGACAAAGCCAAACAAACATCAGGATCATATATAAGACATGACAGCGATGTCGTGCTCAAGGCTAATCAATTCTGTGCTTTTGGCTGACTGATATATTTTGTTGCTCTATGTTCAACCTTTGGCCTGGTGTTATGAATCAGTTCTAATCAGACATCACTGGTGTTTTATGGTTGCAGGCTCACAAGAGCAGAGACGATGGGCTGCCGGCATATGCAAGCAAAAACAAAAACACCATCTCAGGTGAGAAATGAATGTGAAGTGAATGTTGTTGCAATATAATGAATGTGGAAATTGCAATGTGATTATTCCATGCATTTTATCATCATATATATATATATACCTACATACAAACTAATTGATAATTAACAAAGACAATACAATTTTACACCTTTACATTAACATTCAATTCATCGGTGTGCATGTATTCACATTTGATTTTTTTCTTTCAGATGACAACAAAGAGCAGAGCAGCTTTTTTGTCCCAGAGACAGAAACGTCGGCGCCCGAATACTGGCGTGAGAATCCAGGTAAGAACGCATGCCACTTTATCTCCGCTTTACATCCACCACTTACAGCAAGAGGGCTGTGAAATAATTTGCGCAGCACAGCTAGCCCATCCCTGCAAGGATATTAGGATTAATCTAAATATAAAAGATACGGGATAGAATATACTCTCGCCGCACTCTTAAAATGGAGCAGCTCTCTCCACAATGTCATTGGGAAAATGTGTTCTGTAGGGAGCCATAACAGTTCAGCAAGACAATCAGCTCAACGCCAGGAAGGTGACAATCACCATTTGAACAATATCAGACGGAAATAATTGCCTTTTGCCTGGCAAAATCTTCCATTAGAAAGATCATAGCTTATTGCCTTTTATCTGTCAGAAAGACATTAAAGGTGTTTTATGACATCTACGGCAACATTTATATTATCAAGCCGATAATGATCTCCTCATATAACGTATATTATATTTGAAAAAATTACATGAAACAAATTAAGTGAAACCACCTTTGCCTGATTGCTAAATGTCTCCGAGGGGCTACTGGGAAACGTGATTAGAACTTCTGATTTTCCAAAGAGTCTAACGGCAGTGTCTTAAAGATAGTTCTGTTTCTTGGGAGGGAGGGAAAAAAGAATCTAATTTTCCATTTATATAATGCAAACTGCCTTGGCTTTGACTATTCACGGTTAATTGACTGTCAGACGAGGTTGTTATCCTCAGGCACTGTCTGCAAATTTGCTTGTCAAATGAGACAGAGAGAGGAGGAGAGCGAGAACAAGACCGCTTTCCAAATGAGGAACGCCTTGTTCGGCTTAAGGAGGCAAGACGGGAAATGAGAAGAGAGAGAGAGAGAGAGGATGAGGGGAAGATTATACCAACGTGTTGGATCACTTCGTTTGGGCCATTTGCGATATGGACACAAAAACACAGACGCCGTCGTGCAGCGCAGACGTACCGACTCCTAAGGATTGCAATCAAAACTGTTTCGAATAATTTCCTGAATCACTAGCGCAGTGACATTAACGAAATCAGCTGTTTTCACAATTTCAGGATATTGGCATATTGCAAGGGCTGTTTATTTGAATGCACTAATCAGATATTTTGTTGGGCGAGTTATATTCTTTTCATAGTATAATGTCTTTATAGTAAATATGCAGCCATACCATATTCACCATATATGAATACCATTTCCTCACCCCAGCAAAATAGCACTGTATTTTCTATTTGACTTTATAAGTCAAATATGTTTGTCTGAAATCTCCTGATGTCAGACTGACATCTACTGGTTGCTGCTAGAACTGCATGATGTGTGTCAGTCTTTCACATGAACTCGATTGAAACTGACATGAATGGATGCTTGCAATGTGTTATAGATCGTCAAGGTTTTTTTTTTTTTTTTATCCTCTTTTTTTCTGCTCAGCAGACCAAAGTCAAGACACAAACTCTCCCGTATCGCTCAAGAAGGATGTTGAGAACATGGAAAAAGGTGAGATAACAAGCAAAGACTTTATTAAAGATTATAAACCGGAGAGTTCCGGTCCTTGATTCTGATTGGTTGAGCCGCGTTCGAAGCTGTTGTAAATTACTCTACAAACACACACCTTTGTTTACTTTGTGTGTTGCTCGACAACCACTTTGTTGCAACCACAACTGTTTCTGAGGAACTACATTGTTTGGTGGAAGAATACTGTTTTTATTATCATTACACTTTATTTGCTCTGTTTTATTCTGTGAAACCTATTTAATAAGCGTTATAAAAGCAATAAGCCCCGTGAAGCCGTGGTTTACAGTGAATTTATAATTCGCTTTGCGTCGTGCCTAACAACGCCTCGTAGCTGTTATAAATTCACTGTAAACCACGGCTTCTTGGGGCTTATTGCTTTAATGGGGTCAGTAAGATTTTTATTTGAAAGAAAATAATACTTTTATTCAGCAAGGACGCATTCATTTAATCAAAAGTGACAGTACATGCATTTATAAAGTAACAAATGATTTGATTTGAAATAAATGCTGTTCTTTTGAACTTTCTATTCATCAAAGCAGCTGCTTTCAGCATTGACAATAATCAGAACTGTTTGTTGAGCAGCAAATCAGCATATTAGAAGGATTTCTGAAGATGCTGAAAATTCAGCTTCGATCACAGCAATAAATTGTATTTTACAAAATACAAAAAAAAGAAAATGGCATTATAAATAGTAATAACATTTCACAGTTTTACTGCATTTTGAAACAAATAACTGCAGCTTGGTGCGCACTTCTTTTAAAAACTTTAAAAACTCTTGAACGGCAGTGCCAAATGTTTCAAATGCATGTTTGTAACTGCTCTAGATGTAACAGCTGATATTTCAGCGCAGCTCAGCATCTGATCTTTGATTTATCGTGTAATCTGTCCTTCAGAGGAACTCCAGAAAGTTCTCCTTGAACAGATAGATTTACGGAGGAGACTGGAGCAGGAGTTTCACGCTCTGAAAGGCAGCTCTCCATTTCCAGTTTTCCGTAAGTGTCCTTACTTTCACTTCATGTGTTTTACAGTATCATCATGATTTAGCATGTGAAACTCAGAGAACCTGCTTTATCTGATCAATAAATCGGTATAACTCCATAAAACGCCATTTTAAAAGTAAGCCCAAGAAAAGCACTTGTAGGCCACTACATACCTGTAAAAGGGTTTATATATGAACTCAGGTGACCCATAAGATGCCTTTGTTTTTAATATTCCGTATTTGACTATCCTACAGATAACTTTCAGGACCAAATGAAGAGAGAACTGGCTTACAGGGAAGAAATAGTGCAGCAGTTACAGATGGTAAGGAGTTTTCAATAAGCTCATAATTTCCCATCTGATTAATTTACTCGCGAATCTCCCACATGCAGCCCTCTTATATTAGTAATCTGCTGTAGCAGGCTAAATCTATGTTACAGTGGAAATGTAAGATAACCAGCAGACTAGCAGCAGGATCTGGTGTCTCGTAATCTTTTGTTGTCTAGAACTGGTTCAACATTGCATAGCGCTGCGGCATCAGTCACTGGGGCATCTGTGTTTTAACACATGGATGATGCTGGCAGACTGCCACTGTGTGTTCTCTCAGTTCAGCACCATCCGTCAAGCCAGGGGAGATCATATATGAGAGATTACAGTGTGACAGATTGAAAGCTGAACTTCTGTAATGCAGAAAACTATAGAGATGAATACATAATGACGTTTGCAAGATGCAAGCTTCCTTTTGGTGTCGTATCAGCACATATTTAAGCCATAACATACAAGATAAGAGGCTTGTGAATTGTGAATGTAGTCACAGCTAAACTGTATTTTTTTTTATTTAAAGACAGCATGGCTTTAAGTGACAAATTTATTTTTTTTGAAAGTAATATTTTTATTCAGTAAGAACGGATTAAATGAATACAAGTGAAAGTAAAGACATTTATAATGTTATAAAAGTATCACTGTTTCCACAAAATATGAAGCAGCACAACTGTTTTCAACAGTGATAATAATCAGAAATGTTTCTTGAGCAGCAAACCAGCATATTAGAATGATTTCTGAAGGATCATGTGATAATGAAGACTGGAGTAATGATGCTGGAAATTCAGCTTCGCATTGCAGGAATAAATTACAATTTACAGTATATTCATATACAAAACAGTTATTTTGAATAATAAAAATCTCATGATTTTACTGTTTTGACTGTATTTTTGGTCAAATAAATGTAGCCTTGGTGAGCAGAAGAAAAAGAAAAAAAAAGTTAAAAATAAAATAAATAAAGAAATAACTGAGCCCAATTTTTTGAATGTATTATAATATAGAAAATAGTGCATTTACTACATTTTAAAAAATATTAAGGAGGACACAAATTTTCATTAAACATTAATTTATTAAGCACATTTAGTGTCATCCCTTCTCTAGATAGAAATGTTGCATTGTCGATGGAGAATCCAAGTATTAACTGATTCCATATTTTTTTAATTCATTCATTTAATTTTTAAATTTTTTTTTTGTAGATTCCATATGCAAACATCATCAGAAAAGAAAAGGTCGTGACACATCTAAACAAAAGCTAAATGGTAAGTATCAAAGTTATTTAATCAAACGAGAAACATAATGTGTGGCCATTCAGTAAAATCTATTGCAGATTTAATATGAGCTTCATGATTTGTCAGCAAGATAGATTTTATTTTACAAACAGCACTATGTTTGACGTTCTTGATTATTTCGAGAAATCCTAGTGACTATATCAATTGTTGTATGTTTTAGGTAAATTCGTTTGAAACAAAATCAAGCTGCTCTCAACATCTTTTGACAAAAGAGCTTAAATCATCCCCATCTCTATGAGGAATCATCAAGCAGCCTCTCGACCGGATCAGATGTTGAACGCTGCCTTTGACAGACCACCTCATCGATGTCCATCTCTCAGTCTAACCAAAACTGATACACAGCACAGTTCAATGCATCTACCAATGACTTAGAGCTCATTTGACGTATTTCCTGTACAGTAACCCCACTTTGATTATTTATGAACTTATTGAAGTTTATTTATTACCCATGCATTCACTGGTTTATTGATAACAGCAAACTGTACAATGATATTAGCTGATGTCTAAGAGCTGTCTGAAAGCGTGTACACTTTTTCATGTTTTGCCTGTTTAAATACAACATTGACATAAACACAAGTTTAAAAATGGTATTATTAACTGTTCATGCAAATGTCTTTAAATATGTTCTTGTAGTTTCTCTACTATTTATGTGGATAATTAAAAGTCTATCATAAGAAAAAGACTATTTGTTTATTTATTTTTGAAAGTGGCACTTTGATAAACACAAGCATAATACAGTTTGGGAGTAAAGAAAGAAAATGAGTGATATTACATATGTAAAACAGTGTTTGTGTGCATTTTTAGGGTTTACATTTATTTTGTATGTGTGTTTAATTAAACCTACACGACTTGTCCTATTATTTTTCAAATAGGCTATATTACATCTGTAATTTAATTATTAAATATATCATGAAATATATAATTCAGTTACTATAGGCTGTTCGTTTTATTAATTATTTCCTGCATATTATAATAATGTTTTATTTTAATAGTGTTTAAATCTATAGTCTTTGGTTTAAATGCTGCGATTATATACACACACACACACACACACACACACACACACACACACGCACGCACGCACGCACGCACGCGCACGCACTCACTCACACTCACTCACACACACACACGCACGCACGCACGCACGCACGCGCACGCACTCACTCACACTCACTCACACACACACACGCACGCACGCACGCACGCACGCGCACGCACTCACTCACACTCACTCACACACACACACGCACGCACGCACGCACGCACGCGCACGCACTCACTCACACTCACTCACACACACACACGCACGCACGCACGCACGCACGCGCACGCACTCACTCACACTCACTCACACACACACACGCACGCACGCACGCACGCACGCGCACGCACTCACTCACACTCACTCACACACACACACGCACGCACGCACGCACGCACGCGCACGCACTCACTCACACTCACTCACACACACACACGCACGCACGCACGCACGCACGCGCACGCACTCACTCACACTCACTCACACACACACACGCACGCACGCACGCACGCACGCGCACGCACTCACTCACACTCACTCACACACACACACGCACGCACGCACGCACGCACGCGCACGCACTCACTCACACTCACTCACACACACACACGCACGCACGCACGCACGCACGCGCACGCACTCACTCACACTCACTCACACACACACACGCACGCACGCACGCACGCACGCGCACGCACTCACTCACACTCACTCACACACACACACGCACGCACGCACGCACGCACGCGCACGCACTCACTCACACTCACTCACACACACACACGCACGCACGCACGCACGCACGCGCACGCACTCACTCACACTCACTCACACACACACACGCACGCACGCACGCACGCACGCGCACGCACTCACTCACACTCACTCACACACACACACGCACGCACGCACGCACGCACGCGCACGCACTCACTCACACTCACTCACACACACACACGCACGCACGCACGCACGCACGCGCACGCACTCACTCACACTCACTCACACACACACACGCACGCACGCACGCACGCACGCGCACGCACTCACTCACACTCACTCACACACACACACGCACGCACGCACGCACGCACGCGCACGCACTCACTCACACTCACTCACACACACACACGCACGCACGCACGCACGCACGCGCACGCACTCACTCACACTCACTCACACACACACACGCACGCACGCACGCACGCACGCGCACGCACTCACTCACACTCACTCACACACACACACGCACGCACGCACGCACGCACGCGCACGCACTCACTCACACTCACTCACACACACACACGCACGCACGCACGCACGCACGCGCACGCACTCACTCACACTCACTCACACACACACACGCACGCACGCACGCACGCACGCGCACGCACTCACTCACACTCACTCACACACACACACGCACGCACGCACGCACGCACGCACGCACGCACGCACGCACACTCACGCACACACACACACACACTCTCACTCACACACACACACACACACACACGCACATCTACAATGTCTCGGAAAATTATGTACGAGTACATATACAATGAATATATTCATTCATTTGTTTGGTGGGTACAGTACATGGCTCAATTCGATCTATAATACTATTTCTACTATTTAATAGTTAAACTAGTGTAGTTAGAGTAGTATTTTGCTTCTTTGACTTTTGTCAATCTAAGCCTCTCGCGGCGCGTCTGTGACGTAATTCCGCGCGACGCAAGCTCTTTCACGTCCGCACGCACAGTAGTGCCAACATGGCGTTTACGCTGTACGCACTGATCCAGACAGCGATATTATTCACTAATGCCATCGCAGTTCTGCACGAAGAGAGGTTTCTCAGTAAAAGTAAGTCCTTAGGATTGTGTTTTATTCTGAAGTATGGCGATAGGTTTGTTATGTCGCGTAAGTATGTGCGTGTATTTCCATCGGGATTGCTAGCCTAGGTCTGACGTCTCCTAAATGAACAGGAAACTAGAGAAATATGAAAATGGTAAATATTAACATAAGCGATTATAACATGTTTTGTTTTTAAAATGTCCATGGTGGGTTTTGACATGGCCTGAAAGGACTATTAGTAGTTATTAATAGAAATCAGAATTGCTGCTTGTTTGCTGTTGTTTTACCAGTCTATTATATATCACTTCACCAATATCATATACTGTAAATGTGATTACATATGAATCAGTATATTTGAAATAAAAGCGAAGTTTTTGAAAGGGTTTGCAGAGCTGCTATTTAGAATAAAGAGAGTTCATTTTTGACATTTTTGATCACTACACAATTTCCATACTTCCACATTGGTGTTATTTAATAGCATCAATCACTAGTATTACTGTTTAAAAATATTAATGATTACAGTGGGTCTAAACTTTTCATTTCATTTGTAATAAAATAACACGAAAGGAATATACATACAAACAGGTATGTGAAAGAAATCTGTAGGAACAATACTATCGTATACAAAATGTGTTATTCCTATTATTTATAAATTTAAGAAATTTTACAGTAAAGGAAAATTCAACAAGGAAGTCTTCATATCTAGAGAAAGATTTGAGAAATTTGTTATTGTGTGGGAATAAAAAAACTGTGCATAACAGCAGCATGGCTGTCTTTATTATCTTTCATCAAAAAATAAAATAAATCAGATTTTTATAAATAACTTAAATTCTCCCAAAGGGAATACATCTGATGGTACTGTAAATAAATAAATAAATAAATAAATAAAATAACATGAATAAGCAAAGCTCTCTTGCTCAGTCTTAAAAAATACAGATCAACTGGGAATATCAGCAAAAGTAGCATTTTGCAAGCTAGTTAGGATAGACATTATGCATATTCTTTAACTGTATCTCTGATATTTTGTTAGAGATGGAACATTTTTCAGGGATTAACCACACTCTTTTTCCAGTGAATAGTCACAAAAACAAAAATGTTTCCAGTAAAATGTACGTGTAGGGATGTGTACACGATATAATCCTTCAGTCCTTGATGATAAAGATATGCATCCTAATAATATGCAAGCATATAGTCATTATAGCATGATGCATATCATGGCAGAGGGCTGTGTGACTAACAAACACGTAATTTTCCAGTCGGCTGGGGAGCAGAGCAGGGTATTGGAGGATTTGGAGATGAACCCGGCATTAAAGCACAACTTCTGAACCTTATTCGCTCCGTCAGGACTGTCATGAGAGGTTTGTACTTCTGTACAGTGTTAATACTGATGTCTACTAATTCCTCCGTTTACTTACTCCAAGAATCATTCATAGAGCTACTAACATACCTGTGGCCTGTAGCACGAAGCCGGTTTCAGCACGAACCCAGCTAAGTTCGGGTTTAGTTTGAGAGTTTTCAGGCTCAAGAAGATGGGTTGGTTTTGAGCGGGTTTCGTCAACTCGAAACTTACTCTGCAATTCTATCTCGCTTCGTGCTACAGGCCACTGTAATGGGTTTTAGATTTGCATTGATCTTTATCACGTTCTGGGGAAAAATAGCTCCATATATTGTTCCTATGTCTTCATGTAATATCAGAAATGGTTCTATATGAACATGTTTTCTGTCCTCCTCCCACAGTACCTCTGATAGCAGTAAATTCAGTGGGTATCGTCTTATTATTACTGTTTGGATGAAGATGGGTTGCGGTGGATCAGGATCTAATGAGGAACACAGGGAATGTGGCAAAGGACAATGGACTGTTTTCTATCTGTGGTTCTATATGTTGCTCTCAATGTCTGAAAATTGTACCCTTAATGATTTAGCTGTAAGTACTCTGGGAGTTTTATATGAAACAAATACCAGTAAATGTTTTTTTCTTGTCCAGTTTTGTAACATTACAGAAGCTCCTGCGTCTGTGCTTGTTGTTTTTGTCACATCCAAGGTCCAGTAAAGCGTCGCTTCCTCAGGCATTCATTCATGTGTTTCTTAGAGCGACAATGAAATCAGTCAGACAGGTCTGCCAAAGCCATACTGCTGTCTTACGGTTTGATTCTGGCACCTGAAATATAGTTTCATTCCTTTTCTTTCTTTTTTAAATAAATGTTAAGTTCCCCAAAGCTAATCGTATGGTGTTTCCATTTCAAAGACAGCTTGGAAAGTAAAAGTTGGGTTTAATATATTTAAAGACATATGGGTAAAGTCTGAATTTTTTAATAAAGATGTGGTTAATGTAGTGTTGTTATGATATCATGCTTTAATATGCAACACATTTGGTTTAAAGGGTTTGAAAAGTTTGACCAGAGTAGCTTCTACCCTTATGAGCCAGTCATTTCATATTTCAGGTTTTAATAAAGTTGTTTTGTCTTTTCATCTGTTAATGTATGTTGGAGATTGCCATTTTTTTGTTTTGTAATACGTGCTTTGTAAACACTAGGGATGCACGATATTGGATTTTTGCCGATATGCCGATAATTTTCAACAAATTTTGGGCGATAGCCGATGCTGATATATAATTATTTTGAATTTGGGTTAGTTTTTAAGAAGAACTTATTTGTTAGAATTAAATAAACAATAATAAAGTTCTTTTATAATGACAGTACATTGAAGATTTGAAAATAACTATAAATAAACTATATATTAATCACTGCATTTTTTTCTTTCAGAAAGATGCAGTGGTAACCTTAACATTTTATTTTATGATTTAACATTTGTAAATGGTCTAAAGCAAAAGAGTTGTAAAAATTCTGAAAATCTTTTAGAGCTCATAATTTGTTCAAAAAAATAGCATATTGCACATTAAGTAATACATCAGTATATATGAAATTATTTAGTTTAAGTGTTTGTGATTTTTTTTTTTGTTCATGTAAGCTATAGCTTCTGACCTTTAAATCAAAACATACTTAATATTTTATGGCATCAATTACTGCTTTATTTAATCAGAAACACCGTCTAAATATTATTTGTGTATTTTACTTTCATTTTGTTAGAAGTAGGCCAACAGCGCCCCCTACGGAATTAAAACTATTAGGACCCGGGGGAGGCTGCCGCTGCTGCCGCTGCACGTGCTATTACTGTTTACTCTATCATACACCTACCACTTCATTCTGTAGTGCATTCTCAGTTTAAATGCAGCATCAAAACAGTGAATCCAATCACCATTCAGGCAAAACTTTGCATCAGGAATGAGCCATAATGCTGAGCTGATCTAATCTCTAGCACACCCTGAGCACATGTGAGTTAATGTATTCCTCTTATCGGCAAGACATATCGGCATACGGTTTCATATCGGGCCGATGCCGATATTTACATTTAAAGCCATTATCGGCCGATATTGGTCCGATAACATTGTGCATCCCTACTTTACACCTCTTAATTATTTTTCCACCCAAGATCAGTCAGCATTTATTGAGTCAGATGGTTAAATGTTATTTTTGAGGAGGTCAGTTCAGAGTTTGACATATGTTCGGCTGAGTGATTAGAAGCATATGGAGTCCATTAACAACACTAGATTACTCCATCACTATTACACTACCTTTTATTAACAGCAGCCCAGACCAGCAGACTACAACCATATGTTCGGAGCGGCGATTAAAGCCTAACCCTTTTATAATCTATGCTTAATGGTTATTACCGAAGATGATGTGTCTTTATATTTCTCCAATCCCAGGATTTATATCATGGCAGAGAATAATATTTTTGGCAATAAAATTATGCTCCTCATTACCCCCAAAAATGGAGATCTGACAGGATGTTAAAGGCGTAAATTAATACATATTCTTACATTTAAATCAATGCATATACTAGGATTTATTCTATTTTTTATATTTTATCCATTAATAAATAAATGATTATATATATATATATATATATATATATATATTATCATTTATTTTTGTGCACTAATCATGAACATTGGGTGAATGTAAATAGTAAACCAACAACCAAACAAAAAAATCTAATATTGGTAAAAGAGATATGAATCGATGTTCTAAATGCTATTTAATCTGCTATTAAAATATCCAACATATGTTTCTCATTCATTGAGTGACTAATCTGTCATATACAACCCTCTTAAATGATTATAAACTGCCAGGGTCGAGAAAAGCCAGTATGCTCTTAGACAAAAATAAATGGAATACATCTACACATAATATATTAAAAGAGAATAAAAAAAAAAAACTAAAACAAATGGAACACAACTTAAGTAGTTGCACGTGCTTTTTCGACAGGCATTTCTCAGGACTGCTAAGTGTAAGACTCCGCCAGAGAAGGACCCTAGCAGGAAGTAAGTGTAGTTCATAGAAATGTGTACAATAACTTCTATTGGTCAACTGTGTTTTATGCTTTAACAGTCATCGGTTCATCCTTTTTTATTAGTTTAAAATACAATACGCAAATCGTTTGGAAACGACTGAGCATGTTCTGTTTTTGTAGTCTGTACATCGGGTTGTCATGTTATTAAAAAACTAAACGCTATCTACCGGCACAGTCCTCAAACACATTACTCTATTTACACGATCTTTTAGTTCGTTGTATTATTGAACGATTTAAAGCAAGCTGCTTTACCTTTTCTAAAGCTCTTGTTGTTTGGCAGCTCGTTTTAAATAAATGTAGGGTTTCCAAATCCTTAAAATGATGTCAAACACAGATGATGAGATGAAATGTTGTTTTAGAAGACAGTCATTGTGTTTAATCCAAGGTTCATGTGAATAAGAGCATTAATTGCACACGCGGAACTGACAATATGATCCCCAAAAACCTAAATCGTCAGTCATGTTTATCTGCTCTTTTTTGCCATTCAGCCCAGACAAAGCCAAATATTAATATTAATTTTCTATCTATCTATCTAATGCACTAGCTTTTATCTATCTATCTATCTATCTATCTATCTATCTATCTATCTATCTATCGAATGCACTAGCCTAATTAATAAATAATAAGAAGCTGAGTGAAGTGTATTTCATATTATTCTGTGTGTGTGTGAGTTTCAGTGATGGTGTCTCGTCGCGCTTTGAAAGCGGTTCTCATTGATCTGAGTGGGACTCTTCATATCGAGGATGCTGCAGTTCCTGGGGCGCAGGAGGCGTTAGCCCGGTCAGTTTGTTGAAATATCGGCATATATATATAAAAAAAAACAAAATAATATATATATAAATATATATATATATATACATACATACACACACACACACACGACTAGCTTTTATCTATCTATCTATCTAGCTATCTATCTATCTATCTATCTATCTATCGAATGCACTAGCCTAATTAATAAATAATAAGAAGCTGAGTGAAGTGTATTTCATATTATTCTGTGTGTGTGTGAGTTTCAGTGATGGTGTCTCGTCGCGCTTTGAAAGCGGTTCTCATTGATCTGAGTGGGACTCTTCATATCGAGGATGCTGCAGTTCCTGGGGCGCAGGAGGCGTTAGCCCGGTCAGTTTGTTGAAATATCGGCATATATATATAAAAAAAAACAAAATAATATATATATAAATATATATATATATATACATACATACACACACACACACACAGTGGGTACAGAAAGTATTCAGACCCCCTTCAATTTTTCACTCTTTGTTATATTGCAGCCATTTGCTA